GATGGTCGGTCGCCGGTCCCTCCCTCCCTCCCTCCCCCACCAACGTCCCTACTAGATAAATGTGTGGGAATACCAGACTGTTTACCTTTTTAGTAATAAATAATAAATCAGACTAAAGTTAGGATAATATAATTGACATTGCTGGATTCCTTGTAAGACCAGGAATATTTTGAATATAAATATCATATATTTTGCACAAAAGATAACATATTTACTCAAGAGTAAACATTATATCTAAAATTTGTACTGTATGTCTAATGCAAAATCTATGATGTTTATATTCAAAATGATCATCAAATTGTAAGAATTCCAGCAATGTAAATTATATTCTGGCCGGATAATTTGTATGAATTTTATGAGCTAAATAAAAAAATTATACTTCACCGTGTAAAGGGGTACACCCACCGCGGACTGTGAGCATCCTGGGTTCTGGCAGGGCACCGCATAAACGTGGAAATGCGGAATGTGGGACCGCGTAAAGTGAGGGTTGACTGTATATATATACTATATATATATATATATATATATATATATATATATATATATATATATATATATATATATATATATATATATATATATATATATATATATATATATATACACCTAGACCCCGACTTACGACGGGGTTAGGGACCCAAATCCAGGTCGTAAGTCCGACATGGTTGTAAGTCCGACATAGATAAAAAAAAAATTTTTTTTAATAAAAAATCTACAATGAAATACAGTACAGTAAAAGTAATGAATAATGATGAATTGATACAGTACAGTGAAAGTAATAAATAATAAGGAATGGATACAGTGTGACTGAGCACTTAACCTTTAATGTAGTCAGCTGAATGCACATGGGGCCCCCATAATTTTCTAATTATACATGGAGACTACATTAACTGGAAACGTTTCGGTATAGAAAATGCGTGTGTCATTTAAAAAAATAAAATAATTTTTTTTTTTTTTTTATCTATATCTGAGGCGGTCGTAAGTCCCGACGGTCGTAAGTCCACGTAGTCGTAAGTCGGGGTCTAGGTGTAATATATATATATATATATATATATATATATATATATATATATATATATATATATATATATATATATATATATATATATATATATATATATATATATATATATATATATTTATATATATATATACAGTATTACCCCGCTTAACGCACTTTCACTTAACGCGTTTTATCATATACGCGGTGCCTTGCCAAAGCTGAACTTTCACTTAACGCTGGTTTTTCCACAGCTACGCGGTGAGTGTCCGGCTCGGATGCTATTTTTAGATTTTGACCACGCGCCACGCGCCACCCACCCGCCCTCCTGCCTGCCTGCCTCTCCCTCCTCCTCCCTCCGCTTGGGTAAGCGGCGCGGTAAGGTTGCGCAGTGTGTGTCTTTGTTGCGTTATCACTGACGTCATATGACGTCTCGGACTGTGATTGGCCATGCAGCCCTACCCCCCTCTGCTGCTAGCTGTAATTGGCTTAAAGTATTATGACGTGACTACCCCGGGGAGGGAGGGAGGGAGGAGAGACGACGCTTGACCTAGCCGCGGCAGTTTCATCCCTCAAGGCCACGCCGGGTTAACGCGCATCCATTGTTCCGTAAAATGGCTTCCGCCGGACCACCACCCCCAGAGAGAAACCTTTCCTTACCTGGACCCAGCGGCACTAAACCAAAGAAGACACGACGTTCATTAAGCTACGAGCTGAAGTACCAAATTGTTCAAGATTTGGAGAAAGGAAGACGCCAAGTTGATCTCGCGCGCCAGCATGGCGTCAACGAATCTACGATTCGTACAATAAAGAAGGATGCAGCCAAGATAAAGGAGCACATGAAGATCACAAAGTCTGCAGGTGCTTCATCTATCAGGTATTGCCAGAACAGGGTGCTGGCAAAAGTGGAAACTTTGCTGGTGAGTTATTTGGTGCGTCAGGCGCGACGCAACATGGCGGTGGACACGCGCTCAGTGCAGGAGTACGCACGTGAGCTATACGCAGCAGTGACACGTAAACTGGGAATTGCAGAGCCCAAACCCTTCAATGCTTCCCATGGTTGGCTGCATAGGTTTAAGAGGAGGAACAAGGTCACCAACATCAGCATTGTTGGTGAGGAAGCGAGTGCTGACCGTGCGGCGGCTAGAGATTTTCCTCCGTTTTTACGTGAGATTATGGAGGAAGGACAGTACAGTGACGACCAGGTGTTTAACATGGACGAATCTGGTCTTTTCTGGAAAAAGTTACCTTCCAAGACCTTCGTTGTCCAGTCTGCGAGCAAGGTAAGGGGGCGGAAGATGCAGAAGGAACGCATCACCGTCCTGTTTACCACCAATGCCTCCGGTACCTGTAAACCAAAGTTATCGGTGATTCACAAAGCCCGCAAGCCGCACGCCTACAAGAATATGGACATGAACAAGCTTAATGTCCACTGGCTAACCGCATGTAAGGCGTGGATGTCCTCTTCTCTGTCCCTCTTCTGGTTTGACAACTGTTTTGTTCCTGACGTGCAGAAATTCTGCGAGCAACAGAATGTTCCTTTCAATATTTTGTTGCTCCTTGACAACGCACCTGGACACTCGCCCCTACTTATGGATCGTCACCCCAACGTAAAAGTGGTCTTCCATCCTCCCAACACTACGTCATTAATCCAGCCCATGGACCAGGAGTTAATCTGCAATGTTAAAGCTGCATACTCGGCAAAGAAATTCAAGCTCCTGAACGACTCTACCAACACCAAGGATGAGTTGCGTAAGCTGGGTGACACCGACAGCGAGAGTAAAAGCAACGAGGACAAGGAACAAGAGGCGGCGACTCAAGAACTTCTCGTCAAACAATTTTGGAAGAAGTTTAACGTCAAACAAGCTGTAGACTTCTTGGTGGAGGCATGGAATCTGCTGTCTATTGCTACGATTCGTCACGCATGGAGACATGTGTTGCATGGCATACCAGGTGAGAGGAGGAGTGAACCTGTGACTGGTCAGGTTCAGACTGTTGCAGTAGCAGTGGACCTTGCCAGAGAAGCTGCGCAGACTGTTACAGCTGAAGGCTTCTCCGAGACCACCAACGAAGACATCATGGAGGTGATCAGAGATCCTGAAGTGACTGCCGACGAGATGTTGGAAGAAGAACCCGCCAGTGAAGAGGAGGAAGAAGGTGCGTCATTCTCCGAAGAACCTAGTTTAAGTCATAGTGATATTAAGTGTCTCATAGAGTTAACAGAAAAAATTAAGTCCATCGTTTCCCGCGACACTGACGATGAACGCCATGACGTCTTCCATACCCGACTGGTGCAGGCTATGGAGCCGTACATCACGGTGTATCATGACAACATCAAAGCCAGCCGTCAGCAAAGCATAACCGAGTTCTTCGCCCGCAACCCACCACAGCCAGCCCAAGCCAGTGATAGTGATAGTGAAGTTGATTTTGAGGGATTTGTCAGGGAAGCCATAACAACTGTAAGTGACAGTGATATTGATTCACCTAGTAATGGTGATTCACCTAGTAATGGTGATTCACCTGAGGGGCAGTAATCTGCCCTCTGCCTCGGAACCAGCCTCCATCCCCGTATGCCGACCCATCTCTTCTACTACCGTGAGTGTTCCTCAAAAATTTTCGTTTTTTAACCTATTCTTTATTTTTCCTATGTTAACCTTTATCTTTCCTAACCTAACCTCTTCTATATTACTTGTTTTTCATGCCACCATAAAGTTAAGATAGAATTTTTACTACAACATAGTTATTTGTCGTCAAAAAGTGGAGTTTGGGGGTCGGGCTGGGTTCTATTGGAATTAATCCCATATGTTCTGTTATTCACTTAACGCGGGACCCTCTGGGTTCAATTGACCGCGTTAAGTGGGGTACAACTGTATAACCTTGAGGGTAGGGGCCCCAAGTTGATCTGTGCCTCAGGCTCCTATTAAGTTTAATCCGGCCCTGATCTTCTGTTCAGATCACTAGATTCACCCTGAAAGTAGTTTTAAATGTACACTAACATTAAAACTTAAAATTATTGGCATGTAAACTGCAATAACAAAAACATATAAATGGCAAAAATTAAAGAATAAAAAGAACAAAATGGTAAAACTCAGTGTACACACTGCATCACAGTCTATGGGACACTAACCTTAGCAACCAACCCACCCACCTGAGGATGTTGCCTGGCCTGCAGCCCTAGCAACAGTGCTCTGTGCCATGGACCCCCTGACCTCCACATGCTAGCACACGGCTTCACAGCCGAAACTAGTAGATACTTAAAATGTTATCATAATTATATCTTATTTTTTTCTTTACTTTCTGCATGTAGTATTGTGTGCACATGTAACTGATTAAAAAAGGAAGAAAATTACATTTATCTTCCCAAATTACAAATTGAAAAATATCCATAATATGTACTGTATATCACAGGTGGGGAGTGGTTGGAAATTTCTCCGCTCAATCCAGGAATTACTTGCTCATTTTAATACACCTGTAATTCATTCCAGAACATAACCATTTTTTGGAGAGTTCTAGATACCAGGATGACAGATAAGTGGTCCCATACCTGTACTGTATAACTAAATGCAGGTAGTAGTGTAACCAGAACAAAGGGAAGTAGATGAAAGATAGTTACTCAATTTTCAGGAATCGTTAAGACAGTAGTCTTTTACTTTTGTTTATGTACAAAGATTATGTAATGTTTTAATTTTCCTGAAGGCTGAAGTGATGACTACAAGAATTTTTATTTCAGGCTGAAGAGCTACTTATTAGCCAGAAGTTGGACAAGGAATATTTGCCTATCTCTGGTAATGCAGAATTCTGCAAAAAGTCTATAGGCCTTGCTATTGGTGATGACAACTCAGCCCTGGCTGACGGACTGGTGAGTAGTGTTGAGAATCACTGGCAACAATTGGTAAATTAGTTATTTTAATATACTGTACTGTATACTGTACAGGTTAACAAGGAAATGTTATATGTATCTAAGAAAGCTGCTTTTTTCATTATGCAATTTTTTGTTTATACGTATACCTGTAGTTAAACCTTTTTGATAGTTCTGTATGCAAGAATTGGAAAGTCAAGCTTCTCCATAGCTAAGATTAAGAAAACTGAAGGATAAATTTTGCCTTAACCTGTAACTATGAGGCTTTACAACATGTAGTTATGCAGTAGTAGATAATGGACAATGACACTATAACAAAACAGAGCGGTGCTAAACATACACTTTTTCTAATTCATTTGTAATGTAATAATGAAACAATGGTAAGTGGGGACCCTGTTCTAACCTAGAGCTTCTAATTTAGTAGTTTTGATCCTAATGATGATGTTTTCATGGCTGTCTTATTTTCACAGAATGTGACTGTTCAGGGAATTTCTGGTACTGGTGCACTGCGAATTGGTTCCACTTTTCTGTCTAAGTTTTTCCCTGGCCCAAAGGTAAAATCATCCTGTAAAACTATCTGTTAAGGAACTGTCATACATTAATCAGGTTGTTATATGAGGCGTCTAGCGTAGGAATGATGAACTCGCCAAATCATAGTTTTGAGTTAACGCACGTCAGAGTTTTAGAATTGTAAAATCACAGCGCCATACAAAAACAACCGGGAGTAGAGATGAACTCGCCACTTCCTGACATCACAGTTGGAAAGATATAAACCTGGAAAATTCCGAAACCATAGAAAACGGATTTTTGGTGGACTGGCGAGTTCGTCCCTCCTACGCTAGACGCCTCATGTCTAATCAAGTAAAACTAAAGTGCAGTATCTTTAAAAGTACAGTATGCACTAATGACATGGTTTGTTATGCATAACTTCAGTTGTGACATTAAAAAATCTGTAAGTATTTGTTAACACATATTACTGTAAAGGTAAATAAACAACTGTATATTAATGTAATAATCACATTAATTTTCTTAATACTGTATACAATTACTGGAAATAGATTTAACAAATATATTACAGTAATAGTACAAGTACTGTATGTGATTTTATAGACTGTGTGGCTGCCGGCACCAACCTGGGGTAATCATGTACCCATCTTCAAACATGTTAACATGGACGTCCAACAGTACCGGTATTATGACCCCAAGACCTGTGGCTTCAACTTTTCTGGCGCTTTGGAAGATATTTCGGTTGGTAAATCTAACCTGTATTTTTATCAAAATTGATTGGTTGAAATAAAAAAAAAATACTGTATATAATTTTGTCATCCACAAGATGATTGTTGATAGTGCACAGTAAAGATGAATTGTATATGTAAGTGACTAGATGTAAGAATGGATGGAGATTAGTTTTATGGAGAATGTTGTTCGTGGGTATAATTAGTTTTGAAGTATTTAAGTTCTGTGCAAGTTTTCTGTGAGTGTGAATTGAGGATATATTAATTAATTTTAGTTTCTTATGCCTCTTCTGACAACAGTTCCATTTCATTTAGTTGGAATTGAAGTGTGGGCTGACTAGTTATAATGGGCCCTAGTTATAATGGTTAGTTTGAATACTATTAGGACCAGGGCTCAATTGATTTAGGGTCAATGTTAGGTTGTGAGAAGAAAACAAAATTGCGTAAACTATTGATGTTTAATACAGTGTGTTTGATTTGCAGAAAATCCCTGAAGGTGGCTTGATCATGCTTCATGCCTGTGCTCATAACCCAACTGGTGTTGATCCCAAACAAGAACAGTGGGATGAGATGAGCAAAGTCATAAAGGACAGGAAACTTCTACCATTCTTTGACATGGCTTACCAGGTTAGGATTATAGTTATTATTCATTTTTGTAGAAACTTCTTGACAAAATGTAGACAAGTACTGTATCCCATAAGTTAACTGTAGGATAGTGAGACTTCCCAAAAGCTGTAGCAGAACTTTTACCTGTATTCAGTATCTTCTGAGGAAGGATTTTTTCAAGTTGAGTTTGGGGGTGATATAACCACATACAGTACTTTATGACAGAAGACTACCAGAGTCCAAAACTAATATAATATTACTCTGCAGTGTTTTCAGTTCTTTTATCAATGGCAATGATCAAGCATAACAGATTTTGCTTTTAATTAAAACAAATCTTTTAAACCTATGATTTGTGAAGAAAAGGGAAAACATTTAGACATGCAAGTTTGAATAACAACGATTAAATTTTAGTGATTTAATATACAGTAAGATCTCATATTTCACGATTTTTAATTTTGCGAGCACTGCCTCATGTAACCAAGTCTTATATTTGGCATAAAATATCATGAATTTTGCGAGATCCAGCAAGCTGAACACGAGATCCAGCAAGCTGAATGCTGGCCACTGTCTTGAATGGTGTCACAACCCTCATACCAGTTAGTCATTTCTGTTACAACGGGTGTTTTGTCAGTGCGAATTGGTTGCAACGCGATTGATGAATAGGGGAACGCTGTTTGTAAAATGCGAAATTTTGCATACGAATGTTGGCTATAACAGGATTCCATCCTCAACGTTTTAAGCGTGGCGCGGGGTTATGCAAGGTTTCCCGTTCACGTTTGACATCACATGTTCAATTGATTCATGTCTCGTCTCCTCGTGTGTTTTAATATTCCACGTAGTATTAATGAATTGTATTGTTCATTTTGCACACACAAACGTTAATTCAATAAAAAAAATCGGAAACATAATTAAAATATATATGAACGGTAAATAAGTGTTGCTTTCATATTCTTATGTAGAGAAATGACGATATGTTTTCACATGTGTGCACTTACATACGCGATCTCACTTTTTTCTTTACCATTATCGTTAGCTACTTCTATTGTTTCATTTATTAACATTAAATAACATTACTTACACCAACCATAATAATTTTACTACAGCTACAACCAAGGTCTTATTTTCTTCAGTTTTATATGTAGAACCAGTCAGTCACTGATTTTGTAAACAACAAAAACAAAGCCATCTTGTCTCCTCGTGTGTTTTAATATTCTACGTATTATTAATGAATTGTATTGCTCATTTTGCACACATAAACATTAATTCAATCAAAAAGACATTCAGTAATAAACAATAATGAATCCTTTGTACATAAGAGAAATGACGCTGTTTGCATGATTGTGCACGTCTGAACATTGGTGAGCTGTTGAAACCCGTCGAAATTCGAGTTTCCGCCGTCAAGATTTTTAATTGTTTTGTTTTTTGTGTGTGTTCCAATAAAAAACGTTGAATTAAAAACTCGCGAAATTTGAAAAGCTACTGTATGACATTTAACCCTTCAATATGTCTTCAAAGAGACCATGAAGCAGAGAAAGTGGTGCTAGTGCTTCCAAACGTAAGCACAAGTCACTATCTATCCAGGAAAACGGTGAATTTCCATGGTCCGGCACCGGTCAGGTCCTGAGGTTGCCGGACTAGAGAGGTACAACCTGCATATGTATAATCTATTTTACATTAATTATTTCAGGGAGTGAAAAGTACAGGAATGAAAATACTGAAGTGAAAATAAAGTATGCCTGGATAATTCGCAGAATTTTATTTCGTGGTCCTCTATTATTCGCGGATGACACCCTTGTTGTACCCAAGAATGTCTGCGGATAGTTTTAAAGTTGCCGGCGTTTTTGTTGCTGGGACGGAGATATTTGTTCTAGACCGTAATTTCCTTTTTCTGTACAGTCGGCCCTTAACATACGCGGGGGTTAGGTAACAGAGATACCCGTGAATGTTAAAAATCCGTGTACTTTTGCTGCCCCCCTCCCCAAAAAAATCCTGGCCCTCCATGTCATGTTACAGTATACAGTACTCCCTCTTTATCGACGGGGGTTACGTTCTGTAAACGGCCGTCGATAAAGAAACCGTCGATACCGTGATGGTCACGTAATTTTTCTAACTATTATTAGCATATGTTGAATAAATGTACCTTTAAGCATTAATGCGTTTCCTTTACACATAACCTTAAATAATAGTGTATAAATAATAATATAATAAGTGGACAAAAATACTAGCAAACTTACGATTTCATTTATTGAAGTGAACATCGGTCCTTACAGTAAACAAAACAGTGTACAGTACAGTAAAAGTCCAAAAATCCGGCTGCCCAAGGCAAATTGTTTACCATTTATTATTACAACACTTTACACTGAAACGCGGGTAGTTTCAACAAAAATATTGTATATTTCCATTCAAGTATTTATTCAAGTCAATTAGGAGGGAATATTATTGTAATACAACAGTTTTTAACTAAACCATTCGAAAAGTGATTACGGTAACATCTTTTGAACGAAAGAAAGCGAAAGTCATTGTTTTCGTCACGATTTGATCCCACTTTCCACTGTAATACGTACGTCATTTCAGCAAAAATATTACATTTCCGTGAATGTATTATATCAAGCACAGTATGAATAGAATATCATTGTAATATAACAGAATTTTAACCGAAAACTATTAAAAAAAACGAGTAACATCTCAAGAACATCGGAAGCTTAGGTAAAGTCTTTTGTTTCCGTCATGTATTTTATCCTATTTTA